GGCCCAGAGTGCTCCTGGGGACCTGAGTTGGTCTGGATGCAAAGGATCAGGCAGCAGTGGTGGTTCCCCAGGTGTCTGGGGCTCCAAGACAAGGAATGGGAGAGCACCCAGGCTAGGAGGAGAGACTGGCAGGGGAGATGGGAGGGTGAATGAGGCTGGGGAAGTCAAGTCATGGAGAGCGCCATTGACTTACCCCAGAGAGAGGCCTGTGGGCCGTGCAGGCCCAGGGAAGCAGGGCAATATTCTTTTTTCAAAAAAAAGTTTTATTTATGGCCGGGCATGGTGGCACATGCCTTTAATCCCAGCACTCGGGAGGCAGAAAATATATATATATATAAAGAAAAAAAAAAATATATATATATATATAATTTTTTAAATTTATTATTCTTATTTTATGTGTATGTGTGTATTGCCTGCGTGTAGGTAGGTGCACTTGGGTCGTGCAATGCCCAAAAAGGACAGAAGAGGCTGTTGGATCCCCTGGAACTGGAGTTATGGACAGTTGTTAGCTTCCACGTGGGTGCTGGGAGCTGAACCCGGGTCCTCTCCAAGAGCAGCCAGTGCTCTTAACCATTGAGCCATCTCTCCAGTCCCTCCATTTTTTATTTTCTGAGGAATCTCCTTACCGATCACCGTAATGTTTGTACTAACATGCACTGCCAGCAGCAGTGGATAAGGCGTCCTCTTTCTCCACATTCTCCAATATTTGTCACACTTCTTTTTTTTTTCAAATTCTAAATGATATTTAATAATATTCAAAGACCTAAACATTGAATTCTACTGTACTTAAAACCACTTTAACAAAGACAAATACTACTCGAATTATGGTCTACAGAATATGTGTTTCTATGTTCTTCTCACAGTATAAAGTACTGGGTTCTTTGCACAATTTTTTTTCAATGTATTTTTTTGAACTTTTGTGCATTTCATACAATCCATCTTGATTTGATTTAGACCCCTCCCCTATCTGCACCCTGATAGCCCGCCCAGTGGATTTCATGCATTCTGTCATATATGTTAAGGCCTACTGAGTCAAGTTTGTGTACCCAGATGTCCCTCGGTGTGATTCATTCACTGAAGCCTGTTCAGCCTGCCTAGCATCACTCCACTAAAGAAGACAAACTCTCCCTCACCCAGCAATGATTCGCTGCCAATAGTTCCGCAGCTAAGGCCGAGGCTTCCTGCCCATTTCCCCAGTTCTATGTTGGGTTTCTGACTGAGTTTGCACGAGTCTTGTGCATGCTGACACCACTGTCGTCAGCTCATATAAGCAAGTCCCCAGAAATCTAGAAGTCTCTGTTTCCTTATAGTCATGCACCGCCCGTGGCTCTTTCTCCCCCATCTTTCCAAAGGTCCCTGAGCCCTGGTGGGTGGGGTTTAATACAGGCATCTGTCCAGGGACCTGCACTCTGCAGTCTTTCATTCTCTACACTTTGGCCAGTTTTGGCCTTCTGTGTTAACCACCCTCTCTTGTATGAGGAAGCCTCACTGGTAAGAGCTGAGAGATGCATTAGCATTCTCTCTACTCCTGTTCTACTATGTTCCATCGTAGACATGTCATTTAGGACTGGGCATCTCACAGACACTTATTTTCTGTGTGCAGCTGTCAAATTTCTTGATGGCAGCCATTATAACCAGGCCAAGGTGGTATCTCAAAGTAGTTTTAAAGACTCTCCAAAATTATTTTACTGTACTTCTCCACCCTCAAAATAAAAGGCCATCAGAATAGACATTTTGAAAATGTAAGGAAACAAGCAAGTTTACCATATCTTAAATTCTATCTCATCCTTCCTTTAAACTGTCCTTCTCTTAGCCAGGCGTGGTGGCTCATGCCTTTAATCCCAGCACTTGGGAGGCAGAGGCAGGCGAACTCTGTGAGTTTGAGGCCAGCCTGGTCTACATAGAGAGTTCCAGGAAAGTTGGGGCTCCAGGGAGACCCTGTCTCAAAAAGACCAAAAAATAAAATAAAATAAAATAAAAAAACAACAAAAAAAACCTGTCCTCCTCTTTAAGGACCTGCTTGCTATCTAGTACACAGTTCCACAGGAACACTGAAAGTTTAATTTTTCCTTTAATTTTTAAAACATAAAATGGGCCTGGCAAGATGTCTCAACAAGCAAAAACTTAACAACCTGAGTTCAATCCCCAGAACCCACGGTTGAAGGAGAGAGAGGCGTCTTTTCCTTAAAGGAGAGAGAGGCGTCTTTTCCTTAAAGGAGAGAGCTCTTTCTAAATCACTTCCTGGATAGAAAGTTCCCTTTCCTAGGGTTCAATAACTAAAGCACACCAGGACGGGTGGGAGGGAAAGAGAGAGGAGAGACTTCAAGTTTAGGTCGGTCAGCCAGTGTTCCTTTTCAAATGCTAACCCTGAATGCTTACTTTGTGCTGGCTACTGAGGGGTGGACTAGAGGATGTTGTAGACAGAGTTCTGTCCCCACAGCACCTGCATTCAGTGCTGCTGTTGGGCAACAGAGGGTAATAATGGGAACGTCAGTAGTTATTGAGTGAAAATATTCAACGCCATTTACCGTAATAGATGCATGATTATCTCGGTAGTCACAAAGAGCCAATCTGAAACAACTGCAACATCCATTCTCGATAAGAGCCCTCAGCAGGCTATGAGTAAGAGACTTCCTTGGCCTGGTAAAGGTCTGTGGAAACCCTACAACTACTTAACCATGAAGGACTGACAGCTGTTCCTTGACATACAATTCCTAAGACCCTGCAATCTCTATGTTAAGAGGTCTTCCAGGCTAACGAGATGATTGGTGGCCAGGCCTCAGGGCCTTCACAGTGCACAGGCCTAAATTTTCAACCTCACTGCCAACCTCTAGAGAGGGGAAGGGCAATTGACCTCAGCTTACGCATGAAGCCTCTATCAAACCAAAGGACAGGGTTCCGAGGGTTTCTGTAACTCATCTGTAGTCCAGGAGGGTGACATCCCTCACTGCACAGGGAAAGGAGCACTGGGACTCATTTCCAGACTTCACCCTGTGTACAGGACTGAAGGAAGCATTTCTCTGAGTCCTGGGAGCCTGTGCCTGTGAGATCTGACACAGTCTCCAGGTAACGTCAGAGCTGCCAAACTGAGGACACCCAGCTGATGTGGGAGAAATCCCACCTGTCAGCTATCAGAAGTGGTGAGGGGCCATGTGAGTACAAGGCAGAGAACAGTGTAGTTCCCAGGCCCCCATTCTCCTGGGAAGGCCTCTGGTCACATGATCAATGTACAGCAGTCCACCGTATTTCTCTACTTGCCAGCACCAGGCAGTCTCACACTAAGCCTGAAAAAGCCATGCCATTCAGAACACTGGGCAAAGACGCAACAGGATGGGATAACAGGCAAAACCTGCGGAAGATGCCAGGAATGAAAACTAAAGGGAGCTGGGAAACCGGCAGTCTTGGGGTGGATCCCCAGCCTCACACGCTGGACCTGAGCCAGGAAAGAAGTCCCAGTGGGGCTGGAAAACACTGGGCACATGCCTGCATGTGGGCAGGAGGAGAAACAGAGAGTCAACACAACGTGGCCACAGAGGGACAAGAGAGGGGAAAGCCTACAAGGCTGGGAAAGGAGGAAGAAGGAGATGAGCCAGAGACCAGGGTCCTGAGAGCCAAGAGGACAGAGAACGCAGAGTGGGCAGTACTCAGGGGGTGTGGCTAACCGTTTGTTCTCACACTTTCAGCCCAGAACAAAGACAAGGCTAGAACATGTGTCATTAACTCACAGCTAGACCTGAGTATGTTCCTTCTAGAGCCTTCTCACAGCCCAAGCCTCACTGAGATTCCCTGACCTTTGACCTAAGATGGGGCCACCAGCTCTGCAGCCTGTCAACTCCCTCCCCCAACTTTGTCATTAACACCAATGCACACCCAGCTCAGACTGAGATGTTACACTGGCCACAATCAAATCCCCAAGTGACTACAATTATCCTCCTTCCTGTCAGGCAGAAGCATGGGCTGGGGAACCTTCAGTCCTCCCCCCAAGTCTCTCTCCTGTGGGGCTTCTCACCCCTGGTAACAGATGCCCTGGCAGGAACTGGTTCTAACACAAGTTCCTAGGAGCAGGGAGGCCAGCCCTCAAGAAACCCATCTGAACAGACACATGATGTGTAGAGGTTGTGTTAAACAGCTTGGAGCCATAGCCCAAAGAAAGAAGGGGCAGGATCATGACCTACAGATGGGGCCCTTACACCAGAGCCCCCATGGGAGCAGGCCAAGTGGACGCAGAACATGGGAGGGAAATGACCCTGAATCGGTACTGGCCTTCCGCAGGCCTGGAACCGGCCTGGGGTGTAATGAGCTTGGCCACTTTGTGGTGACCACATGGGGTGAGGTCCTGAGGACCACAGTGAAAGTGACAGGTGAGCATGTGCCAGACTCACCTCCCAGCAAAGAGGACCAGGCAAGAACTTGTAGGAAAAACAGAAAGGGTTTCTGAACTTTGCAAAAGACCCTGTCACTTGACAAAACTTTTCCCCTGCTGGAAATGCCTCGTGAGCATTTGGCACACTGGAAGAAAATGTTGTTGGAGAGGTATTTTTAGCAGCAGCTTCCGGGGCCATCTCTGAATTACGCAGCAAAAGCTCACAGCGCCACGAGTCAGCGGAGCGCAGTCACATCGCCCACGGGCTCTGCACACACTGCCGAAAGCAGCACAGCAAGTGCACCCCTTCCCAAGATGGCTGCTCCCCAGGAGTCCTGGCTGCTGGCACTCACCCAGCTCCCCACCTCACATCATCCTGCCCACGACTACCCTCCTCTCGGGTCTAGCTTCTCCAGTATCTCCAGGAATGAACCCTAGAATGTCTCATAGGTGTGAGCAAGGTGGCTAAGCCTTGCATTTTTACCAAGGACTGTCGCTCCATCTTTGTTATAAGATGCTCACCTGGGTAAAAATTTCCCCAAGACCTTCCCAAGATAGAGACACCCCATCCACTCCCACCTTACCACTCACCTTCGCAAGATGAAGACACCCCACCCACCCCCACCTTACCACTCACCTGGCAGGAGCGGAACTGACTGACGAGCAGCGTGCACCGCTGGGGCTCCTTCCGCCCATCCAGACTGTCCAGCTCTGCAGCCACCTGGTTCAGCTCCTCATCAGCATAGTAGAACTGGGCAAGCAGCTGCGGGTCCGACCTCTGCGGGGCGGAGAGGGGGGGATAGCCGTGAGGAGAGGGTTGCACCCCAGAGGGGGCACAAGAGCGTTAGCTCTTGTGCCCATACTGCAGACAGAGAGTCTGTAGGACTCCAGGGCTAAGTCCCTAACCTGGAACCTTCCACCCCAAGCAGTAGCCAGCTCCCATCAAATTTCTACATAAGAACCTTTAAGAATACAAGCAAAATCCAGGCCACCAGGGCTGTGCCCACTTCTCAGCTTATCCTAGACAAGAGATCATCATCCCAGACAAGGGGAAGAGAGGGGCCCAGGGCCCTGGGATGATAGGACAGCTCTTAGGACAAAAAATTATAAGCCGGGCCCAGTGGCATATACCTGCCATCCCAGCACTCAGGAGGCTAAAGGGGAAGGATTGTGAATTCAAGGCCAGCCTGAACTATGTAGTGAGACTCTGTCTCAAAAAAAAAAAAGTTTTTGAATCACATATCTGAACAAAAATGATAAAGACAGCCACTAAAGGAGGTGGCCCAGAATAAGAGTGGATTCCACTCCACTGAGATATGAATGACTGACAGGGCTTATAATCATTTACCCATTCCCTGCCCCCTGGAGCTGTAACTGTCCTCTCAGCTCTTAGCCCAGTTTCTTTAACACCAGGAAATGCCTGTTTCCTCAACAGAGAGGCCTCCCTGCCACTGAACTCGCAGGTGCTCTGGTTCTGGTTCTGGTCTTGCAACCACAGCACTGTGAGCAGAATTCAGGTTCCTGGTCCCCCCCATCAGGCATGGTATCTGGTCCACTGCCCTCTGGCTGGCTTCTTTTTCTGCATACACAGCAGGCCTACTACACATGTGGTTCCCTGGGCTCCCGAGTGAGAAGGGCTCCTTCCCTTAGATATGACAGTCCAGTATTCAGAGACGTGCAGGTAAAAGGCTATAGCCCCAGCATGTTTTTATAAAAGACACTCATGACTATATAAAGACAAGAGAAGGCTGAGGCTGTGACTCAGTGGCAGAGTGTTTGCCTCGCAGGTACAAGGCTCTGGGTTCAACCTCTAGTACCACAAGGAGAAAGGGCCCAGGAGAGCAAACTGCACCCAAATGTACCAATTCAAATATTTGTTTCAAATATGTACCAATTCAAATATATGCCCACTCTGTTCCACCCAAGCGTTAGCATTCAGCTGTGTTTGCACCACAGTGTGCTAAACATAAGGTAACTTCTGAGCATTACCTGTAGTTTCCCTTTCCTTTCCGCTCCTTCCTGGTCTCCTTGCTCCGGCCCCTCCCTTCCACTCTATGTGGCAAGTACTGACCAGCCCTGACAGTCCCAACCATCCAGAGACACTGGGGAGGAAGGGGAAACCCCAGATGCAGCCAAGGAGACCCTCATGGGACTTGAGCTCCCCAAGTCATCACACCAGAATTCGCACAGCGTCTTACTGTGGCAGTTACAGCTTCTGGCTAGGGTAGGCGTCAAATCTTTCCAAAACATTTCTCAGGAGGCTGAGGGGACACTCTCGTAGAAAAGACAGTGCCTGAACTGATCTAGCTATGGATACAGCTCCCTCCCCTTCACCTGGGAGGTGAAGCCAAAGGCACACACAGAGGGGGGAGGGGAGGGGAGGGGAGACAGACAGACAGACAGACAGACAGACCGACAGACCGACCGACCCCTGGGGCCACCAGCTACACCCAGTACTGCCTACCTTGCCTGCAGCTGGGCTGACTTCTCAAGCCACACCCAGGAGGCCATCAATCACCAGAGACTGTGATGTGACTGGGGCCAGGGCCTGGTGGATGGCTCAGTAGTAAAGTGTTACCATGTAGGCATAAAGACCTGAGTTCAGATCTTCAGAACCCACATGAGGCCAGACACGGTACACATATCTGTAATTTCAGAGCTCCTACGGCAAGATGGGTGGTGGAAACAAGAGTCCCTGGAAGTACATGGGTCAGCCAACCTGCCATACACTGGAGCAAACAACAAAAGACCCTGCTTCAAATGGGGGAAGAGGGGATACAACCCACGGTCGCCTCCACCATGACAGACGCCTGCATTCGTGAACACTGACACACACATACACATATTATATACACATCACGCACATACACACAGAAACTGGGGCCGGAGTTGGAAGACACTTAATGCCTCTCCTCCCCCAGCCTCCCCCAGCTCTCCCTTCCACACAGCTATGACTCTAAAGCCTGAAGCTGTCCACTCACAGATGATGACCGAGGGTTCGCTTTCTGCTTCTCAGACATAGCCCCAAGGATCCCAGTATGGCTTGTGCTGCCCACCAGCTTCCCCTCCTAACCCCCCGCCCCCCGCCCCAGCCTCCTGACACTCTAGGGAAGGAGGAGCAGCCATAGGCGCACCTGCCTGCCAGCTGACAGAAGCAGCTTCCCTCTGCCACTCACTGCTCCAGGCAGGGACATGGCCCTTTCTCACAGCAGGGTCATCTCACTGCCCACCCAACAGCTTGTGTTGGACACCACATCAATGGTGAGGCCCACTGCACCTGTCACTCTGCTCAGGAAGTCACCCAGATCAACAGAGCCACAACTTCCTTCTAGTCTTAAACCAACTCACCAACGAGGGTGAGTAGGGAAGGTGGGAAACCAACTCACCAACGAGGGTGAGTAGGGAAGGGGGGAAACCAACTCACCAACGAGGGTGAGTAGGGAAGGTGGGAAACCAACTCACCAACGAGGGTGAGTAGGGAAGGTGGGAAACCAACTCACCAACGAGGGTGAGTAGGGAAGGTGGGAAACCAACTCACCAACGAGGGTGAGTAGGGAAGGTGGGAAAAGCTCTGTGGTGACAGTCACACAGTAAACACCTCGCTGGGGCCGAGCAGCTCTCAGAGCTGGACCTTCTGAAGCCCTTGTCCAAATGCACACAGATGGCAAACGGGCCTCTCTGTGTCCCCATAGCCCCAACGCTGCTTGCACCCAGCACCGTCTATCCCAGCAGCCAGGCCAGACCCTGAATTCCAGGAAGTGGGTAATGCCGCCTGCAAGAAGTGAAAGCCCTGCTGGGGAAAGGCAACAAGGAGCTGCGCCCAGCCCATGGGGGCTCCAATGGGCCTCTTCCCAGCATTCAAAACCTCACCACACGTGAAGACCCCAGAGCCACACACTCCCACTACTCTAGAAGGAAAAGTTGGCTGCAACAGGTGCACAATAGCTGGTGGCCTGGGGCCGTCAGGAAAGCCCCGTCTATCACACTCCCAGGCTGCCACCTGCCCGTGACCAAGGGACCCAGTCTCAAGAGGGTCTCCTTGGCCCACACACCTCCTGTGCACTGGAGAAGCTGAGAAACAACTACCATGTATACAAGGATGAGTACATACATGATCTGTGTGTATGGCTGTGTGAATGTATGCAATTGCACATGCATGTGTAAGCATGTATGAATGCACATGTACGTGAGTTAACTGTGCATACACTCAGACAGGGGAGGACTAAAGTAGAAAGTTCATACCTGCTGGCATTCCAAATGGTGTCTGTCCCTCTACCCCATACTCCTTTGTGACCTAAGTGGGATGCATTGAGGCTATAGGGTAGAGGCTAGGGGAAGAGCAGAAAGTTTTTGAAAGACCAGAAAGAAACTCCTGCTGGGCTGGTGCTGAGGGCCCAGCACTAAGGTGACAGAGCACAAACAGAAACATGGAGGCCTGGGCCAGAACCACTGCAGTATCTTACAGGCACACAGTTCCATGACTCGCCACACTTTACAGTATTCCTAGGGCCAATTAGAGTTCTAGTGCCAGACAGAGGAGGGGTCTCAGCCAGTCATCACACCCACCCTCTCCCCACATCCTCAGCCCCACCCAGTCAGTACAGGGGTGTCACATTTGTTGTTTGCTTACATGCTTGTAGACCGGAGAGTTGCTGTACTGCACGCACCCCTGTGCAGCATCTATATCAGAATCAAGGCAGGTCACTCACACGGTTCTAAACCCAGAAGCACCATCCCAGCATGCCTGGCTGTGCTCTGCAGGCACAGGGTAGAAATGGCCTAGCCACCCTTCCCAGCACCAGACCTCCCTGTTGGTCCTGTATCACTATCACATTGGTAGCTCCACAGCCTGGCCTGTGGCCTATGCCACCCAGGCTCATCTCGACCCAGTCTCTTTCCATCCACCCAGCACCAAGTTGTCCACCAAAAGCCTGCAGGACCTGAAGCAGCCTGGGTACAACAAGTCTCCAGGAGATCTCCAGAAGGGCTGGTCTTCTGGTCCCCCAGAGAGTGCATCTGATCAGCTTCCTCTCTGCCTGTCCAGCCTGTTTGAAACTCTGAACTCTGCTGAGGCCTCTCCCTTTGTAGCCATTCTGTAGCCTGTATCTACATATATGCACTTGTAATGCCAATGCTGTGAAGCAGAGGTGGAGGTCTCAGGGGCTCACTGGCCAGTTAATGTAGTCAAATGGGTAAGCTCCAGGTTCAGTGAGAGAGACCCTGTATCAAAAAATAAGGTGGAGAGCAAGTGAGGCAGACATCAGATGTCAGGCAGACCTGACATCGACCTCTGGCCTCCACACACACACGCACATGTGCACATACACATACACACACAAACATGTATACACACTGACCAAAGACCCTACGTTTGCCTCAGTCCACTATTAAGGAAAGCAAGACTACTTTGCAAACGGCAACCAACGAAACTGTATGACTTGTGAACGTGCTGTCCTTCACTGAGTTATGGCATGGAAATACACAAACGTCCTTTTCTGACCAGATCACCAGCATCCAGAATCCCTTGCTGTCTCTAGTTTGCTTTCAAAAGCCAAGGTTCTGAGGCTCTTGTAACCACATCAGCTGGTGCACACGTCATGCCTAATGACAGCCTCGATGCAGGGTGTTGCCAGGTCACCATAGAGAGATGGCCCCCAGAGTACAACATCCACGTGTCTGGCAAGTGGCCATATAGGGGCTGACCTGTATGCCCACTTCCAGAATAAATGCCAGGGCTCACCGGTAAGGTGGGAGGTACTGGTGCTGCATAGAGCGGCT